TTGTTTTCTAATAAAATATATTTAGAAATGAAAATATGAGATGCAAACTGCGGCCATTTATTCTGGATTACCCGTTGGCTTTAAAATATAATGTGGGTCGCATCGCCGCGAAAGGGGTTAAATTCAAATAGTGATTTGAATGGCTCTTGAAATTTTCTATCGAATATAGTATGTGCTAAAATCTCAAAAGGAAACTTTATCAATCGAGTTTTTCAAAAAATCATTCCAGTAAAACTTCAAGTTCTAGAAAATTTTGAGAAAAATATTTTTTTAGTCACTTGCAAGAGCAATGTGAGAGGTTGACCAGCTCTCCGTGATGTTTGGTTGAAAAGCTATAAGCTTAAGAAAAACCAAAAAAACATGTGTTTTTAGCCGATTTTAGCAATTTTTTGGGTTTTTCTTAAGCTTATAGTTTTGCAACGAAACATCGTGAAGAGCTGGTCAACCCTTCATTCTGCTCTTTCAAGTGGTTATCTTGAAAAATAATTTTCTCAAAATCTTCTAGGACTTGAAGTTTCACTAGGATGGTTTTCTGAAAAATTCTGTTGAGAAAGTTCCTTTTGAAATTTTAGTACATACTATATTCGATAGAGAATTTCAAGAGCTATTCAAATCTGACTCGATTAGATCTTTTTTGCATGATTATGTTTAAATATATTCAAGTTGACAAATTTACATGAAACAATACAGATATTTGCAATTATAAATCAAAAGAATATTAAATCATCTTATATGTTATGTTATTTAAAACAAAGAAGTATATTATATTATTAACAGATGAAAAGTCATAAAATTCGATAAACTCATTCTTAAAGACAAATGATCCTTCTCTATACAAATCAAAATGAACTATCAATTACTACTATTAGTCCAATGAACTAAAAACTTAGAATATGGAATTCATACCATATGAGAATAGATATAGAATGTAGATCTTCTTGTGTATTGCGATCTATCATCCATTACATCAAGTTTATTTATATCATCAAAATTATCTATTATTAAAGTCGCAGATCGAACTCAACGTTCTCTTTAATATATTTATTAATAACATCATGCAGATGCTCAATAATTTTCGAATTAATACTCAGCATAATAACATGATCAATCTAACGTAGTAGAAAAAAAGTTTAATAACAGCTTTATTTTCTTAATTTCTCATTATGGACAGCTTGTTGAAAATATCTAAATAGTAATTTTAATAGAATTCAAAACGGCCTGCAAAAATGCGATATGAAAAAAAGTTTAGTTTAGCTAATTTTCTCGTTATTTTATTTCAGTGCAGAATTTAATGAGCTACACTTTGGTAAAAATCATTTATCATCCTTAATAAAATTTCGAATAAAAACTGAAGAAAATAGTATTATTACTATTTTAAAATCGATTAATTCAGTAATATTTTCGAAGTAGTTTCAATTTTAATTATGAAACGAATCTTTAAATTTGTAAAACAAAAAAACAAACTCATGCATTTACTCTTTCAAACAAGACATCATCGCTCTCAGTACAGCATTCTATTCAAACTTTATAACACTTTTAAATAAAAGAACACAAAAACAAAACAACAGAAAAATAGTCGAAAATCAAGAATTGAATTGCGTCTTTAAAATAAAGGCAGCGTAGAATACTATGACTAATTAAAACTGAAGATACTCTGAAAATATTACTGAGATAATCCATTTTGAAATAGTAATAATACGATTTTGTTCAATTTTTAATCGAAATTTTATTAAGAATGACAAGTGATTTTTACTAAAGTGTAGTCCTGAATGCTATGTATAAAACAGCTTTCAATCATCATAAAATTAGCTGAATATTAAGAATGATGTTAAACTTTTTTCAGCTAGAGAAAATTTTCCACATCTCAATCTTGTAGCTCGCTTTGAGTTGTATCAAAATCATTATTTAGATATTTCCAACAAGATATCCATAACGAGAAATTAAGAAAATAAAGCTGTTTATGATAAGTAGAAAGAAAAAATCAAATTTTCTACTTGGGCTTTTTCGTCTATCAAATATTCTACATAATTCGAATTCTTTTCATTAATAATTAATACATGATATTGAATTTCCACTATACACTCATATGATTCTTTTTTTTTTTTTTGTTCTTTTAGTTATTCAAATAGAACGAAATCAATCAAAAAATCTCACGTATTAGATTACATAACTGATAAACAGAACAAAAAAAAAACTAAATCTGATTTGCTTTCGATAATACCCATGAGAGTAGTCCTTCAATTGATAAATCGTTTTTTTTCTTTTTTGAGTTGAGACTACGTGATCCAAATGATATTACTACACTTTTATAGTATATTTTAGATGAATGCTATGATAATAAATTTGCATAGAGACAGACCATAAAGAGATTCCTTCCTGTTTTCATGATTTCTAAAATCCAAATACTTCCTTCTAGGAAATATCTGAGTGCTTACAAAGTTTCAAGTCAATTTTCTTTTTTCTCTATTATCACATCATTCATTTACAAAAAGAAAAATCCCATAAAACTGTAGTATTATCAATATGAGAATTTCTTTCGTTCGAATAATTTTTCATATACCTGTTGATAAAGGATTAAGTCTTTCAAATTGATATCTATCCGATGTAACTTGTGTTGTTGGTCTTGGACGTTGTAAAATTGAAGGATGAAATGATGTTCGTTGAAAAAGACTTGTTGGTGTTGTTGATGATTGATATGAATAAGAAAATGGATTTGTTAATGATGGTATCATTGTATGTGTTGGTTGATATTTATATGTTATTTGTGTTTGTTGATTACCATCATCATCAGTTAATTTTGTTTCTTTTTCAATAAATGCTAAACGTGGTATCCAATGATTTGAACGTAAATCAACAATATCTTGTAAAATAAATTTAATACGTAATGGTAAATCTTTTTGTGTTTGAATTTTTTTAATACGTTCTAAATATTGATCCATGAGATTTTTACCTTGTCCTTGATCTAATTTTTTTCCAACAGTTTGTATAATTTTTTTTAAACATTCAAGATCTTCACAACGTTCAGATAAATTTTCATTTGTACCACGTTTTAATAATGTTTTTAAACATTTATGTAATATTGCTTCAGATACAAGATCAAGTTTACCTAATTCACCAATTAATTTTATATTTCCAATAGCTTTTTTACGAGCTTGAATACGAGCTTCTCGTGAATCCATATCGTCATCAATTGTACTTGAATTTGTTGTTGATTGTCCAAGAAGAATACGATTTTCAAATTCGTATTCACATTTAGCTAAGAGTAAACGACGAAATGTTCGAATAGGTGCATCAGATGGTTCAAAATTTGGTGCGTCTCGATCCAAACGACGACACAATTCAGCATCTATTTTAGAAATCAAGAATATTTTGCATAGTTAATAAAAAATAGATGATTAAAGAAAATAATCTATAGTAAATTCTGATCGCAAGAATCGATAGGTCTTAATACAAAGGATCTTTTTTTTTTGACACTTTTCTATTATTTCAATGTATTAATCTTCATTTTCTTATTAACATATAAAGATTCGCATGTCTATATTGTGTTATAGATAGGAACACTCTCCAATTCATTGTAAGCTTGAAGCATAGAAAAGCTTCTATTGTCTGACATGAACTCTTCTCTATTGATGACTGCAATTGTAAGCCAAAGATATCAATCACTTTTTGATGATTCTTATCAAATCTCATGTGAAGATTATTTTATAAATCAGGCAAACTAAAATCATTTGACATGAAATTTTTAATAGATCTGGAGAAAAAAAAAGCTGATTAGGTCCTTGTGATCAAACTATGAGACAAAAGAATTTGAGTTTAAATACAATTTTATGATTTTATATCATTTATTTAAATAAAAAATGCGAACACATGGAGAAACCATTAAGTTATTAAATAGTATTTCATCCAGTATGGTAAGAACTGAAAGAGATAACGCCTCCTTCCAGCCAACGCTTGTATTCTTACTATAAATAAAATATTGATATTTACGTATATGTCCTATTTTAGCTTATTCGAATATTAATTATTGTAACTTTAGATTGATTTTTTTTTGGGGGGATTTTAGATAAAAAACATTAAAAAAAATATTTCGAGGTATAATTCGTATGTTTATATGCTATGTACATTTGAGCTATTATAATACATTACTGTAATTTTCATATAGAAAAGTACAAAGTTATGTCATTAACCTTTTGACTTACGTTCTTTAATAATCAATTGTCAACTCTATTTTCACCTTAGTGCAAAATATATCAATATATAGTCATTCAATAAAATTATTAAACTCAAGATGATTTGTATATTATTAACTTCTACAGCACTCTTTGAATCTAATAATTTCATTTGATAAAGTTATTAATTACATTCCTATAAAAATAATTTACATTCTTTTTCTTTTTTTTTGAAAACTATGTAAAGAAGCTCTAGTCTTTGTAAAATAGCTACCCTAATATTATTCTCACATGCCTACAATTAGAATTTAATCACGTACTATCAAATATGTGTATATCTAACGTTGAATAAGAACGTGATAGACATACTTAAGATAATAAAAATTTTCATTTAATTAACTTACACAATGAACAATAATTTGGTTCTGCTAATGCTTTATCAAATATAAGTAAAATAACTCCTTTTAATAAATGTGGTGAATCAATTCCAAATGATGGATTAGCTAAATCATCAGCAAGTTTATCAAATTTTTCAGGTGTTAATTTATTAAGTAAAGCACGACATCGACGAAAAACTTCATTATCTTTTTCTTCTTGTGTACGTATTTTATTAACATTTGTTTTTTGATGTGAACGTAATAATGTTTGTGGTATCCATTTATTAGTTAATGAAGTTTTAGGTAAATCACTAACGTTGGTAGAAACGATAGCGGCAGCATCATCAGACACGCTGATAATACCAGCTCTATTCGGCCCAACGGCTTGAAACTGATTCGTGGACAGTTTGAATGAATACAAATAAAAATTTATATTGAGGAAGAGTTTTATTGGAAATAAATTATATATATATATATGTGTGTATGTTGATTATATAAGAATAAAAAATCGAGAAGAGATATATAATTGACGCAATAATCTATGAAGAAAAAACAATTAGTTTCGAAATATGATGGAAAGTAAAAGAACGCAAGTTTTCTTTTTTTTTTTCTTTTTCTAGTTGTTTGTTTATTTTTTTTTTTTCTTCATCAATCACAAGTTACCAATATACGTTAAGCAATCAAAAATCAGTTAATGTCCTCAATTGAAATAATATTTGATATTTAAAAAAAAGAAAAAGATAAAATAAATTATTTAAATTATATTTAAAAGAAAATATTTAAAAAATAAGAAATATTTAAGTGACATCTTTAGAAATATAGATGTCAGACATTGATAATCCTTATTTGTATTATGATACAGATAGGTTAATACGTGCAAAAAAACCGTCTGCAAGCATGCATTTCTTACAATGTTTTTTTCATCCTCCAATCTCTTGATTATTTTGTCGACAGCTCCGCCGTCTATAAAAGAAAAATATACTAGAAAGATCTTCACGTTGCTGTCGAGATAATAGGACTATAACAAGCATAATATAACGTTGTTTAGAAATCGAAGAAAAAAGAAAAAAACAAAATCCTATTGCGTTCTCTTCTTCTATTTTTTTTTCCTTCTTTCGTGTTCTCTATTATACGTCCGCTCATATGGTAACAGATCATACGGTGAGGTGAACTAGTACAAATATTAAAAGAGAAATTCTTCGTGTTTGCAAATTCAATGCGTTTTATTTTACATGCATAAGCAGTTAAAAATTAGAGAAAGAAAAGAAAACATCATTCTATTTGTGATAAATGTCTTGGCCATTTTTATTTACTTCCGAACATAAGATAAATAAACTTGATAACTCTTCAAATTCATTTCAAACATCAACTAAAATTAATACAAACGAAGAAGAAGATAACAATGAACATGAACAAACAATAGTAGAAAATCATGTATGTTATCATTAAACTCTTTTTTTTTTTAATTTTTTTTAAATTTTACTGAAATAAAAACAAAAATTCACGTCTTTTCGAAATCTAGTCATTATTATCAAGATTGAAATGTGTTGGTGTTTATTGGCGTCAAATTTTTTTAAACAAAATTCATTTTGCATTAACGTTGGTATTTGTTAGTTTGTATAATATAGCAACACGATTAATGCGTTTCACACGACAAATAATCTTAGTTCGATCAGCATCTCCATCACCATCCATAGTAACTGTGTCATCAAATCAAATAGTTGAAGTGAGCAAAGAGAGTTTTTAACAAGTATAAAAGATTGAAAAAAATTTAAACGATGTCTTAAAGGCAAATTGATTTTGAATATTAATAGTAGTTTGGTGTCGAACAGTTAATAATAATAAAGAAAAAAAAGAACGTAGTACAAATTCAAGTGAAATTTTTTTTGTTGTTTTTTTTTTCTTTTTACATGTGACCAGATTGAATAGTTTAAGTGTGTCTATTACATGGGAGAAGGTAAAAAGAAACAAAAAAAGAATGTTCTATTAGATGGTACTGGATGACATTATGAGAATGACTTTGGGATGTGAGTTAATTTCGTACGCGATGGCCTCGGCGATAAAAGAACATTCTTCTTTTCTCTTTTTTTATTTTTTTTGTCTTACTATCTATGGTATCAGCTCATATAAATATTAGTCGATCCACAAAGTAAGGCAATGTACGAGAATAGGTCGTTAACAGATAGATACTCTCATTTATGTTTTCTTTTCGTTTTCTTTTTTTAATTAATGATAAATAACTTTTTCAGTTAAGTATAATTTAATAGATATTTCATTAAGATAAGTATATGTATAATATGTGCGCATAATCTATTCGATACAGTACATATGTAATAATTTGAAAATTTATCTTGAGCAAAGTGCGCGTATTCAATCAGTAGGAAAAAAAAGTAAGAGACCATGAAATATTGATTGAATAAATTGATCTAATCAATATATTACGTTCGGTTTATTGAAAAATGAAGTAAAGCAATATCATATTCCACTATTATTAAGTATAGAACAGAAGTTAATAGTACAAATACAACATTGATAACAGAACGCAATAAAATGCACTGTTTTATTTGTTCAACTAGTAGTTTCTTTTCTTCAAGTGATTCTTATAACAGTGAAAGAAGTTTTATTTACTTAAGTATTACTTGTTAAGGATGCACCTATTTATTTTATTCTAGACCATAGAAAAAGAAACAAATAATCTATCATTGAAGACATATAGAAAGAAAAAAAAACTACCCATTTGAATCAGATATGTCATTGCTTAGTTAATGACTCTATATACTTGATAAAGCTGTGATTTTTTTTTTTCAACATATATTCTATAGATTTTTCTTTTTGATAAAGGCCACTTATATCGGTCTATTATCATGTCTAGATATACAAATTATCGAACTGTAGTCATCAGTATAACATACGCTGAATGCGTGTCCATACTGTAGTTTACCTTGAACTTCAAGTTCTCTTTCTCTATGTATAACAAGCAATGATTTATTACATTTTCTTTTCTTTTCATGTTTATTATTTGTATGATCATGATAATACATTAGCCACGCTCCAGATCATACAGCAAGCGCATGATATATATATATATATATATAGTTAACACTATAATAAGAACTTATTGGTATATACGCCCATAATTACTAATTCTTTTTTCGTAATGATGACAACACAAAACAGCTGATATATATCTACCGATTTGAAACATTACTTATTTTTTTTTATTATGTTCCATTATATTCATTTACGTCTAAGGATAACCTTTCTTTCAAAATAATTGTTCATTAACAATCATTTGCATAAGTTTGTTTTTTTACATTAACAAAATAAATGAGGAGTCGAATAGTATGTACCCAAACATTTTTCTCGTATTTTATTTTTCATCTTAATATAAGACAGAGAGAGAGGTAAACACAAATTTTTTTTTTGTCATTTTTTTTCTACTGCATTCTTTACGTAGAGTGACAAATGTAATTTCGAAATAGTAAATAAACAAACCTTTAGAAAATACGTTGATTTTTTTTTCTGTCAGCTTCTCGGCCTTCTATTTCATATACTGCATTACCTCTCTAACATATATATATATATGTGTGAAGAAAGTAATTTGTAGTTTATTCATAAATACATAGCTATCTATAACATATATATACTAGTTTTGTAACATAAATCATCCAACATAAGTGTAAGTGATTTGTTTTGGTCGATATATTTTCAGTAAGAATAGAACCTGGATAGTTTCAAGGTCAAAACACAGAGACATAAAAGGATAGAACAGAAAAGCAGAGATATATCTTAGTGGTCTTGCATCTTCATCTAATATAGAATTTTTTCTGTATTTTTTTTTCTTGTTTTCCCCGTCGGTCATATGTATGTATATTATAACTTAGTTGATAACATACAATTGTCGTTAATAATCTATCATTCGTTGACCATACTACATATACAATATGATAGATGATGAACAAAGATATAAAACGGGAGGTACATGCGATTAGATAAACACTTACAGAATGAACTATTGACCGATGCATATAGTCATTTATCCAACCAATTTCTTTTTTTTCTTCACACACACATAAGAGAAAAAAAAATAACGACAACAACAAAAGCTCTGATAAAAGTCCCCTTAGTATGCATTGGTCAAATGTTATGTAAATGACCTGACAAAAAAAAAATTACGTATTCGCTGGTTTTTTTTTTCATTTTTTTTGACCTTCAACTGTCTATAAGCAAAAAAAAAGAGGGACATTTACTATGAAAGATATTTATATAGAACATAATAACCTTGTAAGAAAACATAAGAATTTTTCTATAAATAATATTTTTTTTTTTTGTTTTCTGTTTTAGGAAGATAAAATTCATTCTTCTACATCTTTAGAAAACTTTAATTCTCAATTTGATTTGCCATCATTAGAAAATTCTACAATGGCACATTTACTTGTTCAACAACAAGTACATAAAAATTCATCAACACAAAATCAAACACTTGTACCAATTGATCATACAGTTGACGATAGATTATTTTTCTATAAACAAGATTCAACAAGTTTATTACATTTTCTTCAAAAATTTACATCTGAGCCACAAATATCTATGTATCATTCACCATCACAGAAATTTTTAGATACTAATTCAATAACTTTTCCTTTGTCGAATACATTTATATCATCAAATGAACAACATAAAAAAGATGAAGAAGAAGAAGGAGAAAAGCAACAAGAACAAGACGAAATAGAAAAATTCAATTGTGATCAAATTGAACCGATAGTAATAGAATATAAAAAGAGGTTTGAATTATTTAAATTAAACAAAAAACAAAAGAAAAAAACAAAACAAATAATTTATATTTTAGTAACACATTAAACAATATTTCAACATCACCAATGATTGATGATTTAAATGAAGATAGTATATTAAATGCGAATTTATTATTAAATGATACACGTCATTTTCGCAGGCGAAAACGACGTGCATCATTAACAAGACAATCTTCATCGAGTGATGATTCAATTGAACCTTTAAAAATAGATTCAATTGAGCCTATAATAACAGATTCAAATGAGCAAAATGTCACTCATGAAGAAGAAAAATTAGATACTATTAATGAAAATCTTCAACAATTATCAATAGAAAATCTCTCATTAAATGACAATAATGAGATAAATGAAGATAATTTATTAGAAAATACAGAGTCGAATGATAAAACTTTTACTCCTAGTCGATTTCGTATAAGAAGTAAGTAAAAAAACAAAAATCTTTTTTTTTTATTATAATATTTCTAAAATTTTTATCCTAGGATTACGATCTCGATCATATCGTCAAGCATCATCAACATCTGAAGAGTCTACTCCATCTGATAATGCTGTTCAATTTTTTGTACCTACTGAAACAATTATATCTCCACCTCCTTCTACACCACCTCCTTCTACGCCACCTCCATCACCAACTTCAGCAACACCAAATTTAATCGTATCTAATAGCAATTTAAAACGTACAAGTTCTATTGGAACAACAAAAAAAATGGTTCGTTTTGCTGATTCAATTGGTCGTCAATTAGCACAAGTGCAATATATTCAATCTTTAACTGATGATGATACAAAAGATTTTTCATTATTAAAAAATAATCTTTATATACCAAAATCATTAAATTTAGAACATAAACCATGGTCATTTGATGTTGAATTAACATCCAAACAAATACCTGATGTACGAATACCAAAGAGATTTTTTTGTTTATATCGTCAACCAAATTCTGAACATCCTGATATATATTTACATGAAATATGGAAATCACAAGTTAAATTAGAACATGCAACTATGCGTTTAAAATCAACAACAACCAGTGAACAATATCTTTATGGTACAATATGGGTAACAAATAGTGGTTATTATAAAAATGTAACTATTAAATATACATTTAATCGTTGGTTAAATACATATGAATATGAAGCTAAACATTGTTGTCATTCAAATGATTTTCGTAATATAGATCAATTTGATTTTCATATTGATATTCCACATGATGTTGATAGAATTGATTTTGTTATACGTTATCGTGTCAATGAACATGAACATTGGGATAATAATGATGGAAAAAATTATACATTAGAAACTGAATCAGCTTATACACCACAAACAACAATTTCATTACCACATGATTGTAATTTTAATGAAATGAGATTTTATTAGAGCATATAAGATGTAAACAAAAACAACAGTTGCTTGCTTTCGTTTTTCTTTTTCTTTTCTTTTTTATATATGTAGCATGTATTTGTGTCTTTCATTCTCTCTTTGGTTGTTATTTGTTTGTTCTCTTATCCTTTCATGGAAGAATTTCTTAAGATTTATGAATTATAATACTAGAAGAAGACATGTATATCTTTAAACTTATATAAATTGATTTTTTTTTTTTTGCCTTTACTTGGTCGTTCCTTTTTTTACTGAAATAAAACACAAAAAATATGTATTAAGTAAAAGGATTCAAATACATAAAATGTTATTTTCGTACTTTTTGTTTTTCAACATCCAATTGAATTTAATCATGAATTTCTAATTAATTTGATGATAGATTCAAGATATCTTTGTAAGTTTCATCGATCTTCATCGGATGTTAAATACAATGCCTTTCAAAAAAAAAAAAAAGATGAGATGGGATTCTATAATAAACTTATTTCTAAATCGAATACAAATTTTTCATTATTAGTATTTTAAATCGGTATTACATCAATCATTTGATTATTATACATCAAAATTCTTGATATCTAGCTAAACAGAACTTTTTCAATTCTACAAAGCTAGGTCACTTCAAATAAAAAGAATAGTTAGCATCCTATTTTCGAGACGTAATATGTTGCTTTCTTTGATTGATCATGGACAGAAAGAATGCGAAGCATTGAAATAAATAACATATTTGGTATCAGTATAAAAATTTGAAACGATTTCTGTACATTTCAAATTTCTTTTTTTTTCGATCAAATAATCACTCACTAGTCCACCTGAAGAATATTCTTTTTTTGGGGAGGGGCGGGAGGGGGAGAGATTTGAAATTTACAGATATTGATTTACACTTTTATGTTGATCTCAACTATGTTATTTATTTCAACACAACTATCCATTATCAATTAAAAAAACGAAATGACTACATATCATTCCTCAAGAATAGTGTGATGAAAGCTGACAAGTTCTCTTAAGCAAGACATGACGCATTATGGATCGATATTTTATTAATATGATTATCAAATGGATGATGCAATACACATACGTAATACAAAGTAAAAAAAAAAAACTAAAATATTATTTTAAATGAATAACATATCATACAATCAGAAATGTGAAATTTAATGCGTTGCAACAATTTGTATTTTTTTCTTTCTTTTAACTGATTCTATACAGTGAAAAAAAATGTCCAAAAATTGACAGCATAAATCTCATTTACATAAAGAACATTTTAGTGCATTTCTACATACTATTAGTTCATCTCATTGGTAGCAATAACGCATCAAATAAATTGAATGTTTCAGATATTTTTAATTTAATTAAAATTAGTAAGGAATGATAACTACAATGCATATAGCTTCACATTACAAGCAATGATAAGATGTAGTGTTCATAAATAAATAAGAGATTCCATGAAATATTGAACCGTAGAAAAATCAAAGATAGAAAAGCTTAGAAAATTTGTGTAATGCCATTTTTTTTTTCTAAAGGATAGATTCATTGTCATGTATAACTAAGGTGCAGCTGTTGATAGAAATTATTCTAATATCTTTTAATTGATATTTAAAAGGAGAGAAGAATTTTAAGTTCAAGGAGTTATATTTCAAGTTTCGTTAAGAATCTCTTATCTCTTTTATTTTTTTATTTTTGAGAACAAATTAAAAACCATTAGAATAATTTCTACCAACAGCTGTAACTTAGTTATTAACATTTACATGACAATGAAACTATTCGTTAGAAAAATATGACATCACACAACTATTCTAAGCTTATCTATCTCGAATTTTTCTATGGATCAATATTTCATGAAGTCACTAAATATTACATCTTATCATTACTTGTAACATAGAATTATGTACATCGTAGGCATTCTTCATTAATGCTAATTGCAATATTAGTTTATTTAGTAAACAGAAAATTTGAAATAGAAGAGCCATTTACATGTTTTTTTTAACTGAACAAATCAATAATCTCTCCTTTCTATCCTATACATTCTCAATGGATTTCTCTTTACATGCAGATATCGGAATCGACAGAAGCAAAAAAATTCCCTATTACTTCTTTTATCCCTATAGTAGTGTTCTGCAGTCGGGTTCGGATTTGAAATCATACCCGACAATATATGAGATCTTGATGTTTCAAAATATTCTAAATTTTTTTCAAACTGTTATTTATATTAAAGCATATGAATGAAAACCGACTTGAGAAACAGGTCAAAGAAGTAGAAGGCAATATTGTTTTACTAAAAGAATTCGTTTTTTTTAATGGAAATTCATCTGCAGATGATGAGAAATAATATGACGATGTAGTTGAATACATGGTAAAGAAAATAAATTATTGAAAAAGTGAACATGTATTATGATGACGGAGAAAGCATTCATGTATGACATTTGACATTCACACTACGTTCTATTTCAGGGTCACTTGATTTGTTTGCTTTTTTTGGTGAATTTGAAATGATCTCTTTTTTTGTTGCTGCTTATAGAAGAAACTAAATCGTATACTTTATCATATAAAATAAAAATTTTGAAAAGTACTATAACTTCACTGGACAATAGAATAGCGAATTAGGAATTTCTTTACGAATATGTATATCTAATAAGAAGGAAAATGTATCAGACAAAATAGAATAAATGAATGATCGTCTCTTTCTATCTACCAAGAAACAGAGAACATCGATAGTATTAGTTAATATGACCTCTAATAGAATTGGATAAATATATTATGAAGAAAAACTCATAAAAATCGAAATTCTTTTTTACTGAAGTTTTCTAGCTTCGTAAAGTTATGTGTATGATGTATGAATAGTTAATTGTGATTAAATAATATTTATAGATGAATGAAATGTTCAGAATAATGTCATAGAATACAATTTCTAATAATTTGATTTTATAAACATCTGCTAATATCCTGTCTCTTCGTTTTCTCTTTTGTCAAATGAAATGCAACTACATTCCTCTGTCTAATCGTTAAAATTCGTTGTTTGTTAGAAAAAAGAAGTTGTCTGAAGAAACAAGCTTATTATAACAACTTTGAATCATATTTCACTTAAAGGCATATTCACATTGTTAGCCTTGAGGCTCCACGTGGGATAAGACAATTCCATTTCATCCTACACGAAGCTCTGATTAGTCTGTATTCATTGATTAGACGCTTATGATATTTCATTCTGCATATGATTGAATTCGATTTGGTCTTGATAAATAAATGAAACCGAACTGTCTTACTATACATTGCTGTGTCCTTTACTTTTTCTTTTTGTTATGGCAGAATGTTTTTTCTAGAAATATTCTGAAGCTATCCAAAAGACAATGAAAATGTTTCATTCTTTATACACTACTCGTTGGAAGCACATCATGATCAAAAGTACAAATAATAGTACCGATATTTTGTCTTTTTTTCCTCATAAATGTATATAGATATTCAAAACAAAACCAAAAAAAACGCATAAGAATATGAATTAATGATTAATCGATCATTGATTAAAATTTCTCATGAACTATAAAAACACTACAAGAGAAACAACTACAACTGATTTGCATGTCAAATCCAAATAAAAGAAATCAGTATACTAAACTTAACTATCTTTTTCTTGCTAATTTTTGTTTTGTTCACGATTGGGGATTGTCATTCCAAAGTATTTCAATCTTATGAAGATTACATCGTTCATGTATAACTATAAACAGCTGTTGTATTCAATGTACATTCATAAATAGTTGTAGCTGAACAACAAAAACAAATAAATTATAAATTGTTTTTTTTTCTTTACGAAGATAACATAATGTTGAACACAAATAATAATCTGAAATAATCCAATACTGACTAGCAAATATAAGAAAAAACCAAAAAAAGAAAAGATTAATTTATTTCCTAATTAAACACTGTTAAACAAAAAAAAGACAAGATCTAAATTTCATTTTATCCATTTGTTCGTGGCCAAGCATCAAAACCAAATAGAAGACCAATAATTAATGTAATACCACATAATATTGATAAAATACAAAGAATTAAAGCATAATTATTAAGTTTATGTGAATCTATTATAAAACCATTACGAAATTTATTTTGTGCTTTAGTAGCAAATGCAAATGCAAATAAACCTATGAAAAAAAAAATTATTTAAATAAAGAAATTATTAATTGATTTTAACATACCAAGTGGAAAAAAAAGAATAATACATAAGATAGCTAACCATCGCCAATCAGATGGACGACGTGGTGCTTGAGGATCAAATTTTTGACGACGATTAACTAATGTTGCTGAACTTTTTGAAATTGATGGTAATGGATTTGAACCTTGTGTTCTAATAGTTGATTGACTTAAATATAATGGATTTGTTGGTCGAACTTGAGGATATTCTTTAAAAAAAACAACAGAAACAAATTTAATTGAATTTTTCATTTTATTTTATTTTACCTGAATATCTTGATATTCGACTTGGTATTGAACTATGTGATCGTTGATCATTTTCAGTTGTATATTGATTATTATTCAAATCAATACCTCGAAGATCAATTCGAATATCATTAAAAATCGGTTGGATATTATCATTTATTTCATAATGCATCTAAAAATCATAAGTATTATTATCAATTGAATCGAAGTAAATAACTAAAGATAAAATATTTCTCGAAAAATGTCATCCTCGAATTTATGCAACTATGTTTTATACAAATAGAAGATGATTTCTTTTCTTTTCTTTTTCTCTTACTAGTTATGCTCTTTTGATTGTAAAAATGAGTGGTAGCAAAAAAAAAATGTTTAGTTCAAGGAGAACAAGAAGGAAAAGAAAAAGAACGAAAAGATTGGCAATCATTCATACATGAGTTCTCTTTGACAGTGAAGGTTAAATCATTCAATACAAGAAAAAAGTAGTAGATGAAGAACAATATATGTTTGTGTTATATAATTGACACATTAATAATACTCTTTCATAATGGTTAGAGTTCCGCTTGGACACACTTGCAAGTTTTCAATTACAATAGATGAAGAATTTTTGCAAACAGATTAACACAAGAAAATGGAATGTTGAATTAAATATTATAACAAAAAATATAGTGATACATCGAAGATCTTCAAAATGATTTCGGCTACAGTTAATTTCACAAAAAGTAAAACTTTCTAGTATTTCATAATATAATATCAATGAATTTTAGACATTTAAGTCTATTGCTACATTCTTTAAAATTTTATTTGTTTTAAAAAACAATAGATCATTGTGCCTAATAAGAAAAATCTATGAAGTGTTAGCTTATCTTTTGTTGTACACGTGTGTCAATCTGATCGAGTTCAACTTAATAACAACAAATAATAATCTTGATGTCTGGTGTCATAGATAGTATAACATTTTAACATGAGATTATTTTGTTAATCTGAAAATCGAATTAATAGAAAAAGAATTCTATGTTTCCAAATAGGGATGTATTGGATGAGAAAGCTTGAAAAAGAATAAGTATATTAAACTTTCTTTAGCAAAAAAAGTCATTTTTGTTCTATTGATACTATTTATCATGCATTGTTGTGTATCATTTTCTTTTATTAATATTTAACGATATTGGAATCACTTCTATTTTAATTATGAGTAGATTGAAGATAAACCAAAATTAAGTTACGATTAATACGAGTTTTTGTTAATAATTATCTATCTCAGTTCAGCTTGTCGATATCAGATACCAGCAAAACAATAGAGAAATGCCATTGAAATAAGTGACTCAATGATGTCACGCAATCGAAAAGAGTTTCAATCAAAGACTACTAAGGTTGTTTTTCATAGCGTGAGTGTGGGTATGAGTGAAGAGAAGATTTATACCTGCGCACCTATACTGTTAATGAACGTTGTCTTTACGAATATAGGCTTACTATTCCACTGTTTAAAACAGAAAAATATCCTTAATTAAGCTTGATCAGTAGCGGAATTGTATATATTTATCGAGTCATCATAAGTTTCGGGACATCCTGCACATATCCCAATATAGTATGCTCCTGAGTAAGGAAAGAAATAATATTTTGAAAACTTCTTTTGAATGCGATACTTGCCGATTGCTGTTGGTTTTGCGACAACACTGGTTCCATGATAATGTAAAATGACAGAGACCATAGGGACACAAAGGTGCTCATCATATATCTATCATGAAATTCTATCAATATGTCCTTTAGAAAATATTTTTGTGGGTTTGGACCACTTATACTTACGCAGAAAAATGGCTCTGAGATATTGTAAAATATCGGGCATCAGAGGCGCACAATATCAGCTGTGATGACCAATTATATGAATTTAGACAGTTCTTCACTCTCAAACTCACGAAACATCTACTATAACATGATGTATCGCACACAAGTTTATTGGGCTTTAGATGCTCTATCAATTGATATATGACACTCGATTTGATTATTTTAATTGTTACTTAAATAGTCAATAAAACATGGCTAAGGATCATTGAAAACATTTAGCTATCGTAATATTGATTGGGTATGTAAGAAAAAGTTATATATTTTCTATGGCACGACAAAATGATTTCACAAAAGGTCAGTCAGAAATCACGTGGATTATGTTAAACACGTGCTCGCATGCTCAAATTTCGTCGTTTCTCTTGTTTTTCCTTTTCTCTCTCATGCATTAGTCATTTTACTATTTTATGTTCTTCTTATATTAATAGTGATCATTCTATTATTTTGTTTGAATATTATATCTTAATGAATTCTTTTGATACTTGTTCTGGTCGCCTTGCATCTTAGTTATGTAGGAATTTACTGGGAACCACAAACGAATCATTGGATATTTTTCTCTCTTCAATGATTACTTCATGTATTTATCCAGAATCTTCGTGTACTCTCGTTCAATTAATCGTATTCTTGTATGTGTTGTTTTATCTGAATGCAAAATATTAGTCCTATTTCTATTTCATTTTAACATTTAATATTATCAACATTATATTATTTTATTTCATTATTTATTAAGTTAAAAATCTTCAATACCGAAACAAAGTAATTTCGTTGTAACAGCAACCACAAATTATTATAAGAAAAAAATGAATGCTATTTACAAAGTCAAGACGCTTCAATGCTGATACATGTAATAACACAATGATGTATTTGCAGTTGCTCAGTTCGTCAATAAATCACAACTTAGCATCGTACATATTGCTTAAGATGGTGACATGATCAGTTTAATTTGTTAACTAAATTAAATAGCAATCACCGTAATAATGAAGTGCAGAGATTATTTAATGAAGCATCAGAATTAATCTATTAAAATATAGTAATTATATTGAATAGTTTCTTTACCAAATAATCATCACTACTTATGAAGCACCATTCTAAACAAATTACGTTCTGTCAATTTTTTCTCATTTATTTAATGTAGACGTCCACTAATCACACGTAGCATTAAAAACAAATTTAAACATTGGTATGACTGAAAAATATCTTATAATTTGTACAATTCAACTGAAGTGTGTTCAATATAGCATATTAGTAATCACGCGATAACCAAAGATTATTTGAAAACAGAAATACCTGCAAAATGGTTTGTGACATGGTTCTTAATTTTGATACCAGTGTTCCATAATATTTAATCGGTCGATTGTTTATCAGTAAATTTGTTATAATCCTATTTACTAACTTAATTATCAATGTTGTCATCAGTTATCTATTTTGAGCAGATATAGAATCATGCCTCAGTAATGTTTATATGACTCAAGAACGAATAACCGAGCTATTTCCATAAAGCGGAGCATTATGAACGATTTATGTAATAAATGAACATTTAAGCTAACATTTTTATCCAAACAACAACTTATAAAAAGGTATCACAAATGATCAGTGAATCAGATCAGATATTAAAATCTGATTGTTCTTATAAGTTTAACAGATAATATAATTATATATCGAAGAACGACATCTAATAAACAATGCAATACAATGTTTTGCACAAATGTAGTCATCATTATTGCATAAAATCATAGATCTTTTCCAGACAATACATACAATGAGGCATTTGCAAGTACATAATGAACAAAATAACAAAGAAGTATTGAAAGAAACATACATTCACACACGCGCTTGAATTTATCTGAACCATGAACAAGAAATTATTTTATCGTGAATATTAAGAAAATTCAGATTAATATGAACATTTATTGAATAAACATCAATTTGATGAGACATATGTTATTTTTGAGATTTTGAAATCGTCAACTCAAAAAGAAATTAATCTTTTATCTCCCGGAATTGATTCAACCACGGAAATAGTTTATGCAGATGCTGATTATGACACTCATATGATTAAATTTAGGCGAGTTCATTCAATCGTGGAGATGTAGAAGGAGTCTTAAATGACCCATCCATCTTGAATGATATTAAAATTGAACTTATTGTCAATTTGATTTTTTTTACATTTTTTCGCAGCTATGCTGTTATTTTGTCTGTATAAAGTTGGAAACCTACTTATAGTGAATTATTGTTTTTGAAAAGCGAATCATTTCGAGGGATGACATATAGTGCAAGACTTGTAATTGAGACTATTTCATTGAGACTGATTCCGATTCGAAATCATCCATTTCTATTGTTAAAGTCTTACCCAGAAGGAAGGACATAACAGGCACTGCAGGTTTCTATCTTTTATGGATAAGAATTCATTTGAAAATGGTCGTGGAATTTTTTTCGGTTGGTATAAATTCTAACAAAGTTTTTAGCATAGAGATTGTGTTATTTATGACTTTATATCGAGATTAAAATAATACAAGAAACACAATTTTTCATATTACTCACTATGAATGGGTCACAAAATGACTTAAGTTGTAATAGCATATATCAACTTCACAAACACCAGAAAAATAAGTCTATAGATAAAACAACAAAGAAAACAAAACAGACTTTTTCACCTTTTGAGAAAAAACACCGTTTTTCAACTCATATTTTAGCCAAAGAATGATGAAAAGATGTTTAATTTTTTATGAAGTCGTAGCTTATTGAAGGTTGTACATAATATTTGGAAACCGTCTCAGCCCGATGCTCTATTACTTCAAATACCGGGTGGCCCAAAAGTAACCTAACACAGAATTTTTCACTTTTTTTCTTTGTACACCGTCTGTTGGATCTCATATTTATATCACATATACTAGCTGATATAACTCAAAGATGCAGCATATGATCAGTACCTAGATGCAGTAATTTGTTCAAAAGTGAACAAATACACCTCAGTCAAAATTAAGGTAAGAAGTCTGAGTCCTAACAAAACGTTTATTAAAGCAATAAAACTAGAAAATGACATACACAATAATACATAAATTTACTTCTGAAATATTTTTAACAATGAAGTTTTTCACAAAAATTGCTCAATGTGTCCACCTTCTAAATCTTTGCAAAGCTGAAATCGCTCAGGTACTACTAATTGATACGCTCGTCGATATAATTCGATTGATAAGTTTCGTATTTCTGTAATAATAGAATCCTTGAGTACTCGAAGAGTTCGAGGTTTTATCGCATATACACGATCTTTGATTAAACCCCATAAAAAGAAGTCAGTTGGAGTCAAATCTGGAGATCGTGGTGGCCAGTCAATTGGTC